AGTCTGTACAAGATATTACACAATCTCTAAAGGAAACCAAGATCTTTATAACAGTTTTCACAAATGCAGCGTAGAATGGTTTCTTCGAAAACATATAGAAAAAATGATGTAATAGTATCACTGATTGGGAAAAACTAATAGGAATTAACACTGCAATTAAAAAGAAAAAAATCAACAGAAAGCAAAACCTCTCAAGCAAAGAAACATGAAAAGAAGGAAAAAATATAAATTTAGATGAACAAAACCGAATCATGAGAGAGGGAAAAGATAAGAACAAGGTCCAAATTCAGGAAACATGACTCAGTTCAGTTTTTAGTTTTGTAAATAGAAATATAAGACCCTTTTTTTAAGGTTTTACTAGCTAGCTTGGTATAGCCCCAGGCCAGGAATAATCATCTGGCCTGTGCAGCAGACCGCTCCTGGGCATTCATAGAAGTAGCCAGGGGATGTCAAACCAAAATTTAAGCCAACTTTGTATAATATGTATACAAGAATCTTAATAAAGGTGATCAGCAAGGCTGTCTAAGTTTTTAAAAAAAAAAAAAAAAAAAAAAAAAAATAGGATTTGAATATCCAACCTACTATTTAGGGAGTTGACAACCTAACCACTTCACTAGGTTGCCATACTTCTAATTTGTCCTATTGTTATACAGATTATCAATAAATAAATTTATAAATAGGTAAAATTAAAGTTAAGATTATACTATAAATTAGTTTAAATTAAATAAGTTTTATATATAGTCAAACCTCTCTATAATCATACTTTTGTACTTATATAAAAGTTAAATTTTATAAGTATTATATGAGTTGGTTTTAAAAATTTATATGATTATAAACAAATATGATTATAGAGAAGGTGACTAGAAAAAGGTTTGACTATATTATAATTTTGCAATAATTTATATATGTCTATTTATACTAAAGAAGATCTATTTTTTTATTTGTTAAATATATTTATTTATTTTTTTATTAAAATTTTTATCTTTGAAATATAATATTTTTATTCAAATTTATAGGACATAGGTTGCTCCTTTATATTAAAGGTTATAACTAATCATATATATACTTTTAGTACCTAATTTAAGTAGTTTGCTTATACATTACTATATAAGTTCTATACTAGATATTATACCTGTAAGCTAGCTAAGAGTCTTGTCTATTTAAACCTTTTGCATATGCAATCCATCTTGTATTACAGAAACATCTTCAAAGTACTGCTTATCTAAGTTTTCAATACTTATTAGTACTTTTAGAATTACTTTATCCTTGACAGAAGACTTACTAAAGCCTGTTATATCCCATATATAACTGATCTAGTTTTATATAATATGTTATAGTTATCTAATATTTGCAGTCATAAGGTTACCTATTTAATTATCACATTATATTATTTCTATTTTTGTAAAGTTTACTAAGACTTAGTATCTATCTTTTTAGTATTTTTTTCATTATTCTCTACTAACTGCAACTTGGAATCAACAAATTCTAATCGGACTACCAATTCAGATAACTCAATATAATATATTTTTATATTTTTTTCCTTTAGTGAATCTGGTAACCTGATTGGTTATATACTTTCTCTTATATATATTTAATGTTTAGTTTATCAACTTATTCTTATAAAGATTTTTATAAGTTTTAACTAATTTAATAGTATTGTTGAAAGTACATGTTACCTCTTTATTCAGAAATTTCCAAGTAGGTTTTTGTTGTCTTGGTTTTTTAGTCTTTTATACCTAATAATCTTATTATAAGTTTGTACTAAAATCTTATACAACACTGATTATTTACATTTCTTTTATATATGTATAATATTACACTTTGCATAGATGCTCCAAGCTTCTAATATTGGATAGAATCCAACTTGATGTATTTAAGTTACAGTTGCATAAGGCCAACTGATTAACAATAGACAATTACTATAATACAGATATAATTTCCAAATTTCATCATAGGTGAAATTTTGGCATTTGAAGAATAATAACCCAACTACTACACTAGGATCACTATTCTCAAATATATCTTTCTTTGATATTAAAATTTTAATTATTATTATTATTTGTAAATATAAAAATAATTACATATATATTACAAAACATATAATGCATTACTTTTAATTATTTTTATTAAAAATTAGATTGATATTTTTTGTGATATAAATATATATATAAAACTGTAAATTTTATTGCCTATTTTATTTTTTATATATAATGTTAATTTATTTTATTAAGCAGGCTAAAAAAACATCAAACTATTATAAAAAAAAAATTTAATATTCTCATGTTTTTGCAAAAAAACTATACTATAAAAAATATTGACTAAGTATAAAATATTAATTCATTTACTATTGCTATATTAAAATAAATAGTTAAAATATCATTCTCAAAAACTTGATAAAAATAGTTACTCACTTATTATAAAAAACCCAGTATAAAGAAAAATTTTTAACCTTATCTGTGTTGAAGTTCACGACCACTTAAAAATCAAGAAAATATTTGTATTTCAACATCTACTATCTGTTATATACTTTGTTAATATCACATATTAAAAGAAAAAAACCATACCTCAATAAATTTCATCAAAAGTGTCAATTAGAATTTTACAAAAAAATATAAAACTTGAACCATTAATAATTAGACTAAGGTCATTTGATCTGACAAGTTCAAGTTTAAAATTTTTAGGCAGATAACAAACAATATTATTGAAAGCATCTAGTAGAACCATTGAATCATCATCATATCAAACCTAATTTGAAATTTGGTAAAGGATCTGTAATGATTTGAGAATGTTTTTCATCCTGCGAAGTTGAAGGTTTTACAAAATTGATAGAAGGATGGATGTTGCCCTATACTACCAGATTCTTAATGAGAATCTTATAAGTACTATTAGAGAACATGACTTTGCTATTAATGATCTGAAACATACAATCAAATTAACACAACAATAGTTTAGAAGTAAGAGAATGAAGGTCTTGGATTGGCCACCCCAATCCCCAGACCTCAACTCGATAGAACACCTCTGGGTCGAAATTGGCCATCATCTTTGAAATCTTCCTGGAAGAATTTCAAGCCGAGAAGACTTGTGAGAAGTTTGACAAGAAGTTAACATTGACACCTGTATTAATTTGATTCGCTTTATGCTGGAAAGGATTAAGGATGTCATCAAAGCCCGTGGTAGCTATACAAAATGGTAAATCTATAGAATTCGACCTAGAATAGAAAAAAAAAGATTAATATGTATTAATTCGATGTATAGAAGTTCTTTAGACTTGTTCAAAAAGAAAATAAAAGATGCAGCAGTACTTATCGAATAACAGTAATATTTATGAGATAATTTATTTATTAACTATTAAACTAGTTCTAACATTTAAAACCGATGATATTTGCGAGTAAATAAAAAAAAAGGATACATTCAAATTTGCGTGAAATATTTCGATCAATCGATTTTTTTTTTTGCTGCATTACTTTTGATTGCCACTGTAAGTTTACTATAGCTACCCTCGTTATAACGGACTCCGTTATAGCGGATACCTTGTTATAACGGAGTAATTCTCAGGAACAATTTAAAAATTTTATTATTATATTATATAACGTTATAGTGGATATCCATAATAACGGACAGAATTTCTCAGTCCGACCACTACGTTATTGCGAGGGTAGAATGTATATCTCGAAACCGAAGCTAAACTTGCATTTTAAAGAATTTAATGACCTACACTTAGAGAACCGATTGTATATTAGTTTATTACTTTTCATTCCCCATATATATATTGTATCCGCTTCTGTACAAAGTATCCTTGAATACTAATCAATTTTGAAAATGAAAGTTTTAGAACTTTGGGATTATTTCCAGTGCTAAATGGTAACTGTAAATAAAATCCATCGACCAATTTTAGCACAACTAATTAATCAATTATGAATTGTATACTTTTAATAAATTTAATATATATAGTATTTGCGCTATCTTTTATGTTGAGTTAGGCAATCTTATATTTCGCTAATTAAATTCGAGTCATAATTCTTTATTATTTCGTTATATGACTTTCTCATCTATGCACCAGAATGTGTTATTAGTACGTAAAGAAAGAAAGAAGAAATATATCTATTAGAATCGTGTTCGTATAAAACATACTTCTTCTTCATATAATAAGCCATTTTCCATGAACCGACAAAATGCTATTGCAGTTTCACACCACTTCTTCGCATTTATGAAATCGTTAACACTAGAATTTAATTTTAATAATTGTCAAAGCTTCTATCATTTTACAATATCAGCCACCCATTCAAAATTACTCACGAGTAATAATCAATACCATAATTCCACGCGTTTACCATCAACCATTGAATTTCTTCCTCAGGATACTTTTTCTGTTATTCAAAATTCAGTCTTAGATACTATATGCATGATCTCTAAAATATATGAACATTACATACTTTTGAACATTCCTGATTTAATATGTCTAAAGCTTGGTCGAAATATTGTGCAGATGCCTGTTTATCTTTTACCATAGAAGTTATAATCAACATTCGGAACCATCTCGAAAATTGTTCAATATCAACTTGTTTCCGTTTAGTTATGGAATTCAACAGAACCTATTATATAAAAGCACATTTGGTCAAATTTATTAATTTATTCAGTAAATTCGTCGAATGTTTAGACATCATACCTGTAGTGTAGAAGATATTACTAAATTTTCAAAAGCATTGAGCATGAGAAAAAGTATTAAAACGGCCAAAATTAATATATTTTATTTCCATAATTTACCTGTACTCGGACATTCATTCTCACTAATCAATAACTCTGCCATACGTTCGAATATTCTTGAAGGTACTTCAAAATCATACGCTTCAGCAGCCTAAAATAAAGTGATGATTCTAGTCGTCATAACTTTACAATAATTGGACTGTTCTGAATACTTGCATCAAGAACTGTTAGCAATTCATTCCATAACCCCAGTTTTATTTTAGCTTCAAATTCGAATAAAATTATTAAGATCATATCGCTTTGTGCCGTGGATTTATTTTCCTGAATATCATCCAGCGTAGATCGCTTTCTTTTACCCAATGTCTTTTTTAACTTTTTATATTGGTCAACGCTTGCAAGTGTTTGGTGTAACAGATCTCTCTATTAATAAATAATATAGTGTATATTAATGGGAATTGGATATTTTCAAATAAAGGTGGCATAAATATACCTTTTGGGCTATCGAATTTTGCTGCCGAGAAAGAAATAGTTTACCACACAGGGAAGTGAAAATGCATAGTCTCTTACGATTAATGTGTTCTAGTGTTTCTTCGGGATATTCATTTAGAAACTATCAATCAACATGAAACCCATCAGTAACAACTATTTTCTATCAAACAATCTACTTAACAATTTTATATACACCTTATAAGCGATATCAAATAATTGAATGGAAAACACATCACTATCTTCTTTTGCATGTTGACAAAACTCTAAGCCCATATTCCATGCTGTAACAAAAATTAGCCGAGTTTCTAGTAAACATTTGATTTAAAAAAAATACATGCCAATAATATAGTGTATACCTGTTTTGAAAAACCATTCCAAGTCTTTTAATAGCGCTCTTTTTTGTTGTATAGAGTCATCTATCTTGTCTTGGTTGTTATCAGTTGATTTAAGAAGATTTAAAGCTATGACATCAAATTACTCATTAAATCATTAAAAATCGTTAAGGAGCAAATGAATGAAAAAAGATTCTTATTAGTTACCAATTTCAAAATATCCACATATACAATCTTTAAGCGAAGCCCTACAAAAAGAATGGATTCTAATAAGCACTATACAAATAATCTCAATATATAGGCATAACAATATTATCACCTTTCCATTTCATCACCAGACAATGTGTTATACGTCATTCGTATTAAGCATCTGAAATAATTTGCTATATATAAGTATGGTATTTTTATATTCTGAAGGTTTACATGTTAATATTTACCTAAGTAAAACAAATATATCCACGTTAGCAATGTCTTCACCCATTTCATGTTTATCCAGAATTTCCTTCAAAGCTTCGATAAGGACTGCCTTATGTCCTTTCTGATAAGCCTCATGAGCAGCCATTGTGAGCATATTTCCGTGAAATTCATCCCCTTTACACATTTCATGCAAATGTTGAATGGCTATAAAAAAGAAAAGACAAATTCTTTTAAATTTTTGCAATATACCAAAATTTTATTAATAAAAATATTAATAGAACCTTGGACAATTTGTCGCTTTTCCATTGCGATATGAAACAATATATAAAAATTTGCGGCAGAATTATGTTCATGCAATTGGGCCTGCCGGATAGCTTCAGTTGCATCGGCTAATGCATGGTCTTCAAGATGGCACAGAGCAATTTTTCTAAACAATATGACCACTTAAATAGTTGGAAAATGTAAATTCATAAAACAATTATTGCATCTTCGAAGAAAGCTTTACCTTTGTAATATTGCAGCATTACGACCATCCGCTTGATTAGCTGCCAATGATTTATATGCGATCTCATACCACTTCTTTGCCCGATCATATCGTTGATTCTTTTGTAATGTGTTCCAATTAAAATTTAATTGACTTGATAAAATTAAATGTTGAAGCATAAAACGCTATTTCTTACTGCATAATTTTGATCACCCTTTTGCCAAAGTATCTATAGGCATAATTTGTCAATCTTTAATGAATAAAATACCAATTAATAGTCTACTGTTTTGTCTTACCAACTGACAAGCAGCTTTTGTCTTATGTCCAATGATAATGCCATGCCGTTGCTCGACTAATCGTCAGAAAATAGCAGAATGTCATCACATTCGCAAAGTAGCATTTATAAATGAAAACGCAACGAATATTCCTAAAACGTACATACATCCAAGTGTCACATCAATGTTTCTTATAGCATCATTAAGGTCTAGATTTTCTGATTCACTATTCCCCAATATATGAAACTTTGCGACAATGGCCTTTTCTATAAATTCTATCTTACGAATATCAGAAAGTTTTTCTTCTATGAGAATATCCATGCCTCTTAAAGACATCATTATACTAAAAAGAATTATTAGAATGAAGCTAGTAGAGAACCGAACCATTAATATTTAAGTGCATACTCAAATTCGCTGACAACATGGGCAACATTCAGCAAGCTAAAAATAAATGAATTCTCCATTGTTATACACAAAATGTAATCTTTTTTTAATCTTTAGAATTGGATGGGATACCCACTCACACTTTTAAACTTTCTGTTGTAACCTGACCAGTTCTCATTAATTGTATGTAGACTTTTCATAATGGAAAGCACAATATTAATGCAATATTTAAAAACAGAGCACATCATATCTAAAGCAAATTTTTTATATGCACCTTCCTCAAATAGTACAGGATCAAAATTCCTTTGCTTCATAATTTTCAATTTTAATGAAGTCGCTAAAACATTACCAGGGTCCTCCTACAATAGTTGAAAATAAATAAATAAACCTAGAACAAAACAACACATGAAAAATGTAATATTCATAACGCTGTACCTCCAAACATATATTTACTGCATTTTCCGCAAGATCCAAATTAGATTCATCATGTACCGAAATCTTCAAATAACATGTCGCTATTTATCAATGTTTATGAATTAATAAAAGCATAGTACAAACTCTAAATACTATAAGATATATTACCTAAGATATTAAGTGTACTTGTCTAAATAGAAAATGAGATTTATTATTCAAAAACATAACATTCAATAAATGACATCCTTTCAATTAATAAAAAGAACCCACAAGTATCTTAATTCTTTCAGGGTTTATTTGTGATATCCTATCAGAAATCAATTCATGACATTTTCTCAGCCATTTTATCGCCTCGTTTACTTTTCCCTCGCGCGAAGCTTGATGTCCAATCGTGAAACATACTTGACACAAAATATCAATCTAAGAAGCATTAGATATGATACAATATGTTTAGATTGACTAAAAGACCTACCTCTTTTATTGTAACATGGTCTAAGTATTCTTTCTCTAAATCATCAAAAAGTTAACTCTGAATCTAGTTGATTGCATTATGCATATTAATAAACAATTTTACCGGTAGCATGTTGAATCATTAGGTTTGCGACATGACTATTTGTCAATTTCCAAGCCTATGGTAAAAATACATAATTTTTTGTGTAGCATACCAAATTATGTAATCAGATTATTAAAGAGAACATTATTCATACCGCCTCTGCACGATATGCGTAATATACAACCAAAGCGGTTGATCTTGATTGCTGTTCCTTTGCCGATTTCTCTTGCCAAGATAATACTGTATCTTCTAGCTAAAAATGAGGTGAATTAGTCTATTGTGTTAATTATCACTGAAAGGATCATCAAAATTTTTGTACCGTATTTGCAGAGCGCAGAATTTCATCGGCTTTATCACTTCTTCCGCAATCTTAATAAATTGGACTAATTTAATTTTCCGAAATACAAAATCAATTATAATAACTTACATACCTAGCCAGCCTTTACCAACTTTATTAGCTAATGAAAGCAATTTTATAGCAGCTATAAAACAAAAATAAATTATTATGGTCACTATCTTATGCATTAACAATATTAAAAACACTAATGTAAAACTGACATTTTATTTCAGTATTTACACTCGCACCAGCACCAGCTTGAATCATTACAAATCCAACCTGCCGAACTACGATTTCAGATGTAATTTTTTAAGATTAAATTTTATTGAAGAGACAGTAATAAAAACCCTTATTCGACAATGCAAAGCATACATAAGACTATCATCTCGTCGTTACTATCTGGCCCACGAGCAACACCACTAGTTTTCAAAGCGATAGAAGTATTCCATATCCCGACGCCTATAAAAATATGAATCGATCATTTATTATGCATTATAGTACGTCGTTTTTCAAGCTCGTACCAAGTTCGTCAATTTCATCGGCCAATTCAAAATATTGCGCCGTCTGTTGTAAATTTGAAAATTTTTCAACATTTCTCTGTATTTCATTTAACGAATCAAGTATACTTCTTGCGTCTAATAATTCTTTATAAAGTTTCTCGTGGATATCTTTTACTAAAGCTATCAATTTAACGGTTAAATGCATATGTGGATATTAAATAAATTTTTGAAAGTTAAATAAAATATTGTCACAAATCATAATGTAAACTTACCCGATATTACTTCAATTAGCTTTCTTAATCTACTAACGATTGCTTGTAAATTTGTCTGTTTATCATGACTATCATTGCTTTGTAAAGACAAAGCAAATTCTCCAGAGTTGGTAGTTGAAGTTGGTGAACCTAATGCCCTATTTGTAATATTTCGAAGAAAAAACAAAGAGTCACTAACATTATCAATGTCTGATTTGTTTGACATTGTAAAGTGAAAGTGTTGTTGATAAGTTAAAAAAATTTTAATATGTTTATAAATTAGGGAAATTTCTAAATTTGGTATTTTCAAATATACATCCCATCAATTTGAAGATCATTACACAATTGATAAAGAATTTTTTTTTTTAAAAAAAAAAAATATTAAAGGTGATAAAGAATTTTTATATTGCTTTACAATACTTTTAAAGGAAAATTCTAGGCATATTTGGCCAGCTTATACTGTACCTCTCTGGTTAAAACTATCTTCGATCATATAACTTAATTAGAGTTAGGGTCATATGGAGTTGGAAAAAAGAAAGTGATATAGATAAAATCGCCTTTTCGAACTTTTTATTAGTGTCTTTGGATAGCTGTTTTTGATATTCTCGTTACTGTTTTTGTTTTTTCGAACTTTATTAGATTTATTTTATTGATTAAATTACATGATTATATTTATTTTAGACATTTGAAATTTGTTTCAAATCTAATTTTTACATATAAATATTTAAGATTATTAATTATAATTTAAGTTGTATTGGGTCTGCCTTGAAAATGATCTTACGGGACTATGTAGGTTTTATGAATAAAAATTGAAATTTCTAACCGTTCAGTAATCCAATTCAACTAATTTTTTTTATTTTGTAAAGCTTAATGAGTTCTACAAAATAAAAAAAAGTTTATTTGAATTAGATTACTAAATGACCAAAAAATTTACTTTTTATTCATAAAATCTACATATTTCCATAAGGCCATTTTCAAGACACAGCTCCATATTACAAAACTATTTGATATTATAGCAAATTAAAGATTTTTATAAAAATTTAATAAATATTATTTGAGATTCTATATAGGTCGATTCATAAGTTTTGTCATAGTACAATTATTTTAAGTTTTTATTTATATTAAAAAAAGAAAATTCTATTATTTCTTTAAAATAATACCTATGCAATGCCTAAGTCAGTTTTGCCAATTCTGAAAATATTTCTTATATTTCTGATTTGGAATAATATTAATAATTAAATTTATAGTACATACAAGGTTTTTAATTCATTTAAAGTGCTAACCAACTAATTCTTGTTTAGTTTAGAGAATAATAGCAAACATATAATATTAAGTCTAAGCTGTAAAATGTAATAAGAAAGCAAAATAATATGCTTTTGTTTTAAATACTTAATAACAATATCAGCTATATATTAAGAGACATTATTATAATAAAACATAATATTTCTTATGGTTTGTCTTTTTTTTTAAAAAAAAATTATTAAATACAATTAACTCTTTATAAATGCATAGTATTGAAACCAAACTTTTGAAAATTTGCATTTAAAAAACAATAATAAAAAATATATTTATATGAGTTTAGTATATATTAAATCAAAAAATTAATATGCATTTAAGAAGATCATATACTTAAAAAAAATGCATTTAAAAAGGTTTAACTGTATTTTAAATAATATATCATTAATATAATATTTAGAGTTTATAGTAAAATCTTTTTTTACAATTTTACAGATTACTGTTTAATTATAAAAAAAAATATATAATATTTGCTTTTTATTATTTTAAATTATTTAAATAATCTGTAATTTTGTTTTTTTATTTTTTAATTCATCAAAAGTAATTAAAAAAAGTGTATTATTACACTTCTAAATGCAGATTGAAAGTTCAAAACTTATATTATAAAAATTTAGATTTTATCTATATTATAACAACTGTTTCTAATAATTGAATTAAAATATCTATAGTAATAATCATATTAGCATAACTAGCAGATCATAGAGCATTTGTGTAACTAGTTATATAGAGAAATACAAACTAACATCAAGTAGTACAAACCCAAGATAAGTTCTTGTAACTATATAAATCTGTTAAAATTAAGAACTAAAAAAAAATCCAAGTAAAAAGATAATACTAATCTTTGATAATATTATTATAAAAATTAAATTTAAAAAACAAATATTAATATAAAAAAACTGAATAGATAAAACTCTTTAGATAAAAGGTATTACCAACTAGGTTGTCAAAATTCTAACCAAAAAGATCAAAAGAAAAGAATATTAGACTAATTTAATATACTAATAGACTAATTATAATTTTATATAAATTATTTGAATTAGAAATTAAAAAACAAAAGCAAAAATATACTAAAGTACTAAAGATATATTATGAAATAGTACTAGAATCTGAATAAACTTTGTAAGAAAATAGTTTTATTATGTTTTGTAAAATAAGTAAAGAAGGCTTCTTACATCTAATTTCTAAGTGATAAACATTTTTATAATTTAAATATTAATACAAAAAAAGATAAAGTAGAACCTAAATAGTTCTTAATAGAAGGTAACAACAGAATTATTTAGTTTTAAGATAAAATAATTAAAAGTTATACAAGTACTAATTAGATAAAGCAAAAAGTTTAAATAAGGCATTTACAAGCAAAAATCAAATATGGCAAATAGTAAATAACCTTTGCATAAAACTTTTAAATAGATAATAACTAAAGTTATACATTATAACCTTGATATAACAAACCTTAATATACTAAAAGTACTATTATAACAAATATTTTTTTCAGCTAGAATTTTATAGTTTAAAATTACCTCAATATAATAAATTTTAATTATAAAATCTTAGTATATCATATCACAAAACAATTTACAATTTATTTATAAGAAAATTACTTTGATATAACAAATATCTTAATAAAGTAAAATATTAAGCAAATATTTACTATATAACAAAACTTTGTATAACTTAATCAAAGTGTAATCAAAGTATAATCAAAGTATAAGTATTTTTTTTTACTTGAAATTTTTATATTATTTCTTTTTTAGTATGAATATAGCTACAAATAAGTGGCAATTTGAAAATGAGCTTAATAATACTCAAAAAAAAAAAGTTATCTTAACCAATAGCCAATAATATGATTTATGTCTTCAGAAAAAAAATAAGCCTAGTATTAAAAATCAGGAACTTGCAGCCAAATTTGGAATTAGCAAATCTTCTTGTAATAAGATTTTAGCAAAGTCAGACTACTAGTTATCTATTAATTTAACTTCTAATGATGCAAATAATAAACAGAACAAAAAATCTATTTTTGTAAATGTTGAGATAGTCATTACATTTTGGATTGAATATGTAATAAAAAATAAGCAAACTTTAACTGGTTATCTTATTCAAAATAAGGCAAAAGAATTCATTTAATTACTAAATAAAGATAAGTTTAATGCATCAAATAGATAGTTGCATAATTTTAAGCAAAGGCACAATATTCGTAAATACAAACATCAAGGTGAAGCTAATAGTATACCTTTAGACAAATTATCTAAATTTAGAAGTAAATTATAAATATTATTCAACTATATTAGCTTAATAATATTTTTAATTACAATAAAACTAGTTTAGATTATAGATTAGAACTATTTTATACATTAGCAATAAAACCAGTTTCAGAAACTAAAAAGGCAAAAGATTGTGTTATAGTATTGTTAACTACAAATGCAACTGGCTCAGAAAGATTAAGACTATAGTTAATTCATAAATATAAAAATCTACATTCAATTTGAAACATGAATAAAAGCAAGTTGCCTGTTAATTATTTTTAAAACAAATCTGCTTGGATGCAAAAATCTATTTGAAATCTTTATCTTAAAGATTTGAATTCAAAAATATGACATCAAAAGCATTACATATTACTTTTAATTAACAGAGCATCAACTCATGTTCTTGATAAAGATTTAGTATTAACTAATATAAAAATAGAGAAGCTATCTTCAAATACCACAGTTCATATTCAACTGATAAAAACTAGAATTATTAACTTTTTTAAAGTATATACATTATAGTAATACTGCATAAATAAATTTACATGTAATACATTACTTTATTAAAGTTTTAATTTTTTTTTATAAGGCCAAATACAGACATTATCTTATTCAAAACTGGTTGGATGCATATGAATTTGCATAAATAAGTCAAACTCCTTCAAGCCCAGTTAATATAAAAGAAGCAATTAATTATTATGCATTGGTGTAGAATGAAGTTTCAGATAAAACAATTAGAAATTGTTGACATAAGACTGGAATTCTTCTAGTTGAATTAGACAATAATAACTTACTATTAGATAACTATTGCTATAATAAATATTATAGTGATTAATTAGAAGTTCATAATTTAATTGAACAGCTTTTTATTAATATTAAAGATGTTTTATCAGCATCAAAATATATAAAGATCAATAATGAATTACCTACAATTGCAATTCCATTAAATTAAGAAATCATTGCTACACTTTAGAAAGATGATGATAATGAGAATGAATCCTAATTCAAATCTTACTTAATACAGCAATAGAAAGCTTAAAGAATATTAGATTGTTTTTAGCTAATCTATCAGAAAATCTGCATATTGAAAATGAAGATTCAAAAATCATAAACTTGCTTAAAAAATGAATTTCAAGCTTAATCATATAACAAAAAAAGCAGACAAGTTTGAAATTATTTTTTAATAATAAATAACTGTAGTTCTGAAAGTGTTTATTTTATACAAAAGATATAATATAGGTTTTTTTTTTTAAGAAATGTTTTAGCTAGTTAAATTTGAAATTTTACAGATAAGTGATTAGAATAATATATACATTTTATACTATACAGTATTTGGTTTTTAGTAACTTATAGCTCTGTGTCTATTCTAAAATACTTTATATATCAAAAATTTATTTGCAGTTCTGTTTATATAATAGGTATTATTACAGTAGATTACTACTGTTTCACTAGGCCAATTAATTTATAAATTCAAATCATAATTTTAAATATTTTATCTAATTTTTTTTTTTAAAAAAAAAATAACTTAGCAACTAGTCTATAACAAATCTTATTTTAATTAATATACTACAATGAAGGTTTATTAGAAAACTAAACTTTACTTTAAACAGTAGCTTATTTATAAAATAAAACTTACCATATTGCATTTACAGAAAGTTCAGTCTCATAATATAGCTTCTTTATTATACACTTTTACTAATACTACAGTACCTACTATAAATTCTAAAAATTCTTCTACCTATTATTGCTATAGGCCTGAGTCCTTAAAAGTTAAGATTTTACAATTTGTCTTTTTAAAAATATGCTCAACCAAGTTTTTAAAATTTTTGATTACAGTAAATATAAAATAACATTATTGTAATTCCAATATTTTTACAACAGTATGAAGAAACAAACCAGAAACTTATCATGCAAAGAATTATTTTTGACATTTATTTATTACTAAGACATATTATGAAACAAAGTATTGTGTCCAAAATGGGTTAATATATGAGCAATGCCAAGTAAAAACCTAGAATAGTAATTTTTTTGATTACTATTCTAGGTTTTGCTTAGTATTACTCATCATTTTGTGGGTCTTATTTATTGTATTGCATTAATGGCTTTTTATTTAGATGTGACATTTGTCACCTTTACCATCATCTAATTTTGGTCTAAAAATATTAATGAGTAAAGATAAAATAATTAATTTTAAAGATTTTTTAAATTGTACAGATTATTAACAGAGCATTTTATTTTTCATTATGTTTAAAAATTTTCTATAATTTAACAGATTGTATTAATTTAGATGACATATAAAGAGTAATGATATGCCTATTATAGACAATAATAAAAATGAAAGTTTTATTTTAATTTTACCTTACTATAATAAAATTAATAACTACATATATAATGATGTATGAATTAATAAATAGATCAATACTGTATAGTTTATAAGTAAATATTGTATTAATTTAGATATAAATTCTCATCAGAGCTTATTATGTATATCGAATGTTTTATAAAATTTATATACAAATTCATTATATTAAGGATACATATGTTTAAACCAAATGTTTTATAAAATTATATATAAATTTGTTATATCGAAAAACCTTGATAAATCAAAATATAGATATAATGAAGCAAAACCTTTAGCTTTAGAGCTTTATTATATCGAAGTTATATTGTATATTCTTACTACTTTGGTATTCAATTTAAGTTTCACCAAGCTGCTATTTCAGATAGCTTGGAAAGATAGATAATAAATATATATTTCTGGTTTATATATTTGCTAAAATGTACTTTTTTTCTCTAAAATCCAGAAATCCCAGTGGCCTGGTTAGTTTATCTGGTTCCTTCTTAAAAACTGACATATTTGCCTAGTTTCACAAGTTTTAGCTCTGTTTTATAAGTCTAGTCTTTACAGTAGCATCATTAAAAGTTCAGATTACTTCTCTACTTAGATTTTTCAAATAGGCTTTTATCTTCTTATCTGGTTTCTGTAATTTACATAATTTAAGGCCTTATCTTAAGTTTATATCACTCGGTATTAGTTTGTGTTTCTTTATACAATATTGTACAAGTGCTTAGACCTTTCAGTTATGCTGATATGATATAGATTACAGGTATCTAACTCCAACTAATTACAGAAGACAGTTAACTGTAATATAGAAAAAATTGCAAATATTCATCATTACTGGAATTTGAACTTTAAACCTGCTACTTAGAGGTTGACAACCTATCTACTTCACTAGATTGCCATACTCTTCTGTAGTAGTTTATAGAATCACAATATCAAAAAAGTTATTAATAAAAGTCAGAAGACCAAAAAGGCTATCTTAATATCAAAAACAATAATAATAATATTGTAAAAATATTATCTAAATAGGTTTAGATCACAGATAACTTGTCTGAGCCTCTAATCTTAATATCTTATAGATATAAAATTTAATTATAAATTTTTTTTGTATATTTTATTTGTAAAAAGTTTAACTAAGTTTTAATAAAGATAGAAGCATGGCCTTATCATTAATATTTAAAAAAAAATATCATCTAAATACTAATATTTTAATAATAAACATAAATATATTAATGATATAATATTTTAAAAATAATAATTAAACTAAAAGACAGCAAAAAAAACTCTCTTCTGTTCTTTATTAATTATAGATAGAGAACATTCATTTTTATAAAAAAAAATAATAAATTTTCAGAATGTAGTTACAAAATACATAGCAAGAGCTAAAACTCTTGTATCTAAAAAATAAAAACAAGTTGTCACAATCATATTAAATACTTTTGCAAGTAGTTTAAACAGGAAAGTTAAAAAGGCAAGGACTTTGAACATAGACATAATCAAACTTTTTAACAATAAAGCAGACAACAAAAAAAACTTAGAAAATATTAAAGCTTCTTAAATCAAGATTAAAAAAAAAGATAACAAAACAAAATACAAAGATCTTGATATTATACTCAAAGCTAAAGACACAAAGTCTAAAAATAAAAATAAAGAAAATGCAATATTTGTGCAGAAAAAAAATGTTTTGGTTACTTCATCTAAAATGACTTGTCAAGATACATCAAAACAAACAAAACATATAGCCAGCACCTAACATGTAGAGAAACATCAACCAAAACAAATTAATTATCTGACTAATGCTGATCTGAAAACAGATCAAATAGTAGAACATAAAACAGATCATACTGATGTTCAATTAAAGCTCAAGAATAAATTTGCAAAACCTAAACAATAGTCTGATCTTTTTTACAAAACTTAAAAAAAAAAAGCAACATACTCAACTTATTTTTCTAGAAAGAGATTTTATACCAAAAATAAAAATGCACTAATCTTTAAAATCCATAGCTTAAAAAATATTTCTATTTCTTATATTGTTAAAGCTATGCAAAAAAATATTGGTAAAAACCTAATTGCAGTCAAACCAATAATTATAAAAAATAGACATATACATCTAAAAGTTGTCTTCTCAAATAAACAAAAACAGCAATATTATGCAACTGAAAGCCTCACAATCTTTAAAAGAATACATCTCTATAAACATCAGATGCAACTTTTTGTCAATAAGGCTTCATAATACTCTAATAAGAAACAAGAACTTTATTTTAAAACACATTAAAGAAGCTTTTCAAAATATTGATACTATTTTGTCTATTAAATTACTAGTCCATAAAGGCATCTTAGTTCTTTTAGATTAGTAAATTGTAATTTTTAAAACAACAAAAGACTTAAACTTGGCATTCAGAATTTCTAGATTCATACATGTCTAGGATCAAAAAGTAACAACTGACTGAAGAGAAGCTTCAAAGTTATATTATTTTTGTAATAAAACAGAACATATCAAAAAAGAGTGTTCAGAATACAAAACATTAGTAGAAATTAGAAATCTTTACAAAAATCACAAAATGCAAAAAAGACAAGAAAATAAATAGATGCTTCAATAAAAAAAAAAAAACAATTAACAGAAAAAAAAAACTCTTCACTCCGATTTTTAGTAAAGAGCAAAATAACATATACAACAATAAACAAGTAATCAAACTTTAGAAAAACTATACCACAAGAGCTAAAACTCTTATGTCAAAAAAAAGAAAACAAGTCTGTATAGTTATGTCTAGCTCTTTAACAGACAAGACAGAAAAAACAAAAAAATCAGAGTTTTATTCTTTGAAGAAGAAAAACAAAACCAAGAAGCAGAATTGCCAAACAAAGCTAAAAGTTTGGAAAAATCTGTTCTAGATATCTTAGCAAATGCAAGCAGAACAGTAGGTTTTAATAAAAACTATGTTTGTAAGAAACCTCTAAAAAAAAGTTAAGACCAAAATAAAATTAAAGAAAAAGTTACAGACATGACAGTTAGTGAAAAAACATGTCAGAAACTGTTAGAACAACTAAAACAAACAGAACACATGTTACAAAATAGTTATATGGAATATGATAACAACAAAACACAAGGTACAAGTCATATGACTAATAAAGCAGATATCTAACTAAGACCAAGACAATGGTCAGAATTGTTCTCCAAATTAGAAAGAGAAAGGGCAATATACTTTACCTATTCACCAAAAAAAAGAATTAATACAAAGGATAAGAATGATTTAATTTTTGAGATACATAATTTGGAAAATATTCCAACAACTGACATTGTAGAAGCAATAACAAAAGTTTGAAAAGAACATAGTTGCAGTCAAACTAATTATTTTCAAAAGAAAAAGAACACATTTGAAGGTAGTTTTTATAAATAAAGATAAGCAATAGCTATATTCTGTAGAAGGCCTTGCTATCTTTAAACAAACCCTTCAGAGGTATTTTCCAATCAATATTAGACATAGCTTTCTTTCAGTTAAACTTTGAAATGCCTCTATAGGCAAGAAAGATTTTATTTCAAATTAAATTAAAATGGCATTTCAAGACATAGGTCCAATTGTATCTATTAAACCTCTAGTATATAAAGGAACTTTAATATTATCAGACCAATAGGTGATAATTTTTAAAACAACAGATGATTCTAAACTAGCAAAAAGAATTCTTAGATATATGCATGTTTGGAATTACAAAGTAATTACAGACTAAAGAAAAGCTCTAAAACTTTGGTATTTTTGTAATAAAATAAAACATATCAAGAAAGAATGTTCTGAATACCAAGCATCAGTTGAACTTAGAAATCTGCAAAAAGCAAGAAGGGAACAAAGATTACAAGAGAAAAAACATATAAATTATCAAAAAGAAACAATAACAGAATTTAGTACAGAAAACTTATATACTAAGAAACTTAGTCTAGGAATAAATCTTGATAATAAGAAAGTAGAACAACCAAAAGCAGAAATTGAAAGCAATAGTAGCTTCCTAAATAATAAAGAAATAGAACAATCAAGAATAAAAACTGAAATAAATAATAGCACTAAAAGCACTTAATTCATGCTTTCAGAAGAAATAATACAAAAGGAAATTAAATTAAATACACAAGAAATATGTCAAGAAAATGGTCTATATGACCCAATAGCATCTTTATATAATAATATACCAATGGTTATAATGTTAACAAATACTAAACAAGAAGATTTTGATGGGTTTAAAGTAGTTATCTCTAAGAGAAAGCACAAACATAAATCCAAAATAGCTACAGGAGGATAACAAAAATATTTTCACACTTAAGAACTTGGCTTATAACTCAAAAACTTACTAATTAACCTATATTCTTGACTTGACTATATGAAACCTTATTTCTTAATAATTATGTCATATTATTTTTAGATCATATACTTGCATAATTAGCAAGTTATTTAAGTTTGCTTTTAAGATTTTAATAAATTTGGTAAATGTTTATATTTTTATACAAATATTTTAATAACTATCAATCTAATTTCAATGATATTTTACTATTTTATAAACAAAGTTTTTCTCTATTTACTATATAAGTTTCACACAATTTTAATTAATAGTTAACTAAAAATTTAGCAAAAACAAAAATTTTATAATTCATCTTTTAAACTAATTTTCTCAATGATTATTAGTCTAAAACAAATAATTTTTTTTTTATTTAATAGATATATATTTTCTTTATAAAATATAAAAAAATTATTAAAATCTAATCACTAGTTGCAAAGATAATTCAAATAATCTATTTTAATATGTAAATGTTTAATTATTATCATATATCTTAATTATTTTAACAACTAGTAATGGACTTTAAAGTTTTTTTTTTATTTTGTAAAGAAGAAATAATACTTTCAAATAAAAAAAAAATTATCTGATTTTAATTACTAGAAACCAAGATAATTAAGGTTAAAGTTCGGCATTTGATTTTTAATGTTATGCTACAATTTCGACAGTGATTGCCACAAAGATCACATAATATAATTATTAAAACAATATTTTAATCTGCTATCATATTTATTAACTTTAAAGTCCTTTATTAAGTATCTTTTTTTATTTTCCTTTATATTCAGCCAGACTATAGAAAATACAGATTTGATTAATTTTAATACCACATAGTTTATCTAATCAGAGTATAAAAAATACAGATTCAAATTCCTTCTTATCAAGAATAAATAAAGATGTAATAAATAAGTAGTGTGTATAATATAATAAGAGTAATAAATAAAATAGATATAAAATAGGAAAATAAATAATTGCATAATGAATAAATAATAAAAGGCAGAGCTGCAGAATAAATAAAAATAAAAAATATAAGAAATAAATAGATTGAAGGTTGTGGATATTAGATAGGTATATAGTACAGTATATATAAATATAACAACCTATGACATTTATTACAGCCTATGTTGACCATTTGAATTTACAATTTAATAGTAGATAAGGTAGTGATTTCAAAGATAATTTGATTGTAGTTTCAATAAAGCATAAGTTCAAAATTTTGAATTTAAAAGTAAATGGTTTGTAGATTTAATAATATATGGATTCACAAATAGAGGTCAGAATCAGCTAGAATTTTAAAACTGAATTGAATTGAATTTAAATCAAGTTGATTGCAATACTTATTTTCATAATAAATAAATTAAATTTAATTTTAAACTTGGTTTATAACTAAATTAGCTTTCATTTACTATAAACCTGATTTATTATTAAAACTGGTTGCTATTGAAACAGATTATTATTAAAACTGGGTTAACCTGAATTTAAAGTTAAATTAAACAAGCCGATTCCAACCTCTATTCACAAGTTAAAAAAGTCCCAGCATTACCAACAATCAAGAGCACAGTCACATGATCTCCAACCTTATGATTCTCCAGAAAATTGAGTTCAAATTTTTTAAAGTTTATTTTTCATGCTTTTACTAATCCTTTATTATTATTATTATTCTGTGCATTACTGTATTACTACAAAATAACTAATGGGTTGCTAAGAATTAATTTTAATGAATTTTAAAAAAAATTATTAGTTGTATTTGTCAAAATTAATTATTAGTTCTCTACTTCAAAATAACATCTAGGCATGTAATTTTAAATCAATATAATAAAAGAAAGCTTTCATAATTATTATTTAAGAGATAAAACCAAACTACTACTTCAGAGTAAATCATTAAACATATTCTAAACATAAACTTAGTTACTGAATAATAATCTCAAATAGACTAAAAGAATTGTTAAATTTAAATTATATTGTACAATTATTGAATATACAAATCTACACTTTTCAAACTCATTTCAAAAAAAGTTAATTGTAGTAAGCTTTGGCTATAATTGGATTTATTAAATTATTTGCATTTATAAAACAAATTAATACAAATACATAATTCAATAGAAGCTTTAAAAGATTGTAGAATTCTAAAAATCTCAATTAATACAAACTTAAAATTTCATGCCCATTATGTCCAAGATCATTATAAAGTAGTAAGCTTCGATTTTAATTAGATTTATAAACAAATATGCATTCATGTACTAAATTAAAAATTTGATAAAAGCTATAAAAGACTATAGAGTTATGAATTATACTCAAAATTTTTTATATAATAAAAAGAACATGCCTGTTCAAATACAGCCCAATTTTATTATAAAAAACTCTTGATATAATAAAGAGTTTGTAAAGTATATTTATTATTCTTTTAATATAAGTTATAATAAATTATTTTTTTAAATATACTTTCATTATAATGTGTATTGTAGTTATTTGGTTATAGTGTTTTCTTGTATTTCTACACTACTTGTATTTTGTGATGAAATATGAGTTAAAAATGAACAGAAAAGAATATATAGTAAAAATTAGTAATTTTTTTTTTATAAAAGTAATTTATTGTATACTCCAACATAATTTATTATAAAAAGTTGTGCTATAAAGATAGTAGACTGTTTATATTGCTTACTGTTAATGTTATAAAATTGGTGAAAGATTATATCCATCAAAATTGACCAAAATAAATAATTTAATTTGTGATTGATTACAAACAAGAGTAATTCATTTTTGGATTAAGCACTATCTCTGCTGTTATTTTTGCACTATATATATAGATAAGGTTAGAAGATCAAGTCATCACGTAACCATGCCTTCAATTGTTAGTAATGCTAGATTTGCTACAAGTTAATAGGTAAAAATAACTTATTAATGCTGAAATGTAAGGTTTGTTCAAATGTGTGGTTATGAGGTTTGTTCGAATATATGGTTGTGAGGTTTGTTCGAATATGTGATACCAAATTTACAAAATCAATTTTAGTAACTCAAGCATATTAGACTTAGTTTTTCAAGTGTATAAATCTTTACCAAACCCTTTTTTAATTATAAATCAATAAAATAAAAATAGATCTCTGTTATATTGCTTTTTTTATTATAGTTTTACTGACTAACCTTTAAATGATGCAAAATCAATATATGTTTAAAGTTACTGTATGATTATATAAAATTTTAATTTACAGAAATTACTATATGTAAAATTACAGTAATTTTATAACTAGTTATTTGTTAGACTTTTTTTTTTAACTAAGCTAAATAAATAAATAATTAATTAATTATAACTGTTAATTAAAACTTATAAATATAAATATGGTTCATTAAGAACTTTTTTTTATATTCAATAAGTTTAAAATTATGACACTTACAGACCAAAAATATGAAGAAATTATATCTGCTCAAAAATTAGGAAAGTCATATAAACAAATTGTCAAACTTGTTAGTTGTGATCCTAAGACAGTTGAAAATATGCTAAAATGATTTGACAACCCATCTCAATTACCAGATCATCAAGAAAGACCACCAACCTTAGATAAGTCAGCATGCGATTGACTGACATAACTTGTTCTAAGTGATCACTATATAACTAAAAAAAAATTTAATCTGAATTGAAACAACAAGAGGGCAAAGTAATAATAAGTTTTTTAATTTTAATTTTATATACTTGTTTATTTTTAATTTCTTTAATTTATTTTTTTAATTTTATATACTATATTATAAGCAATTTTTCAAAGAACTATTAGCTGTACTCTTTGCAAAGCTAACCTGTTCACACATGTTGTGCATTCAAAGCTTTTATCAATACTAAAACTAAACAAGAATATCTGAAATAGGCTAAAGAGCATCTTTACTAGACAGTTGATGACTAAAAAAATGTTCTTTGGTTGGATAAAAAATTTTTTTATTTAATTTCTTTTAATTCACATCAGTATGTATAGAGATGGCCAGATGAGAAATTTGATGATAATTGCCTTATTTTGGCAATCAAGTCTAAAGGGATTATGGTGTAAGAATGTTTTTTTTAGTGGGGTCTTGGCCCTCTTGTCTGTCTTCATGATAGTATCACAAGTGTGTTCTATTATAGAACACTTAGTTATTATGCTATTCCTAAGCTTCAAAACCAATACCCTAATAGTAACAAGATATTTCAACATGATAGTGCTTCAGTCTATAAGAATAAGATTGTTAAAAGGTATCTTGCTAATAAGAATATTAAATTATTAAAATGGCCTCCATACAGTTCAGATCTTAATCCTATTGAGAATCTTTAGTCTAAGATTGAAAAAAAGCTTTAAAAACATTGTCCAAGATCTGGCAATCTAAATAAACTTAAAAGGATAGTTAAAGAAAAATAGGAGGCATTATCTCAAAATTATTATAGAAATCTTGTTGAAAGTAAAGTTGAACATGTTAAGAAAGTTTATAATAATGATGGTGGTTATTCCCATTATTAGAGTTCTTATATTTCTATAACATGTAATATGTTATACATAGAGTAACAGTTGATAAAAATCTAAATTAAAAAAGAGTTAATTGCATATCAAAAAAATAAAATAAAATAAAGTAAAAAAAAAACAAAAACAAATAATAATACTTATCATTCTGAGTAAATTCTGCTTTGTAGTATTATAATCACATAAATCAATTATGATCATTA